TAATCAGTGAAAGAGTAAGTCCCAATGGGAGCAGTGAAATGGGATTGAGGCAAAGCCTTAAACTGTCTCAAAGAAGGGTTCATAATGACATTTGGATTACCTTCAAGGAAATATATGCCATTGCAAGGACCCATTATTTCAGTCCAGTGTTTGTGGTCAGAATTGAACTCACATGGAGGGTTTAAAACATGTCCTTTGGGTTCGTTGACATTAGAAGAAAGCAGAGAAATGTAAGTTTTAAGGCCAGAAAGAAAGGGTCTGCGAATGACCAAGAGATGCTGCTCTTGGCTTTGAGAGTGCATAAGATTGTTGTAGAAAACATAGTAATTGGTAATAAAATGAGGATCAGTTATGAGATGGAACCAGGACTTGCTAACTAACTTGCTTTTCAGCAAGTCTTTCGCTGGCAACCTCGAGAGGATGTTTGATACCAATTCTCGTGGCAAATCCTCTATACTTCTTACCATCTCTTTTTTTGGCCTTTGAAATCTGAACAATGTTATCTTTGAAATGCAAACTTTCTTGCTTTTGTTGGGGATGACAAAAATTAAAAGAAAGAAAAGAAAGAAAAGGGAAAGCATGGTTATGGTATGGTTGGTATAATCTAGCGTTTGTGTGTATGTGAAGGTGATATTAAGGTTGTCTTGTAAGGTATAAATAGTAGATAAGGATTGCACTAGTTCGATTTCTCTTACCAAACTCCGTTTAGTGACTTGGTCGTAGTAATTCATTTGGTTTTTTTATTTTTATTTACTTTTATTTTTTTTGATAGATAGGTTTTTTTAATTTTTTTAGTTTAACTTGTTATTATAACTTAAACCGGAGGTTAGTACCAGCCAGTGTTTTAATTTTAGTATTTTAGTTAATACTTGCTGAGATCCCAACCCAATGCAGTTGGGAAATTTAAAAATGTGTCCAAGTTGGCCAACCTGTTTTCACGTTTGAACTAAAAGATCCTTTGCGCTTTGAAAAGTTTTCATTTTTCCAGAGGTATTAGTTTTGAAAAAAAATTACTAGTTACTTACCGGGGGAGAGACTTTTTGGATTGGGGCCTTCACGTTATGGATATTATGAAGCACCGAGGAAACGGCGTTAGATTCTTTAAATAGATATAATCTTGACAATATGGACACTTTGAAAGTATGTAATGATATGTATAAAACAACAACTTCGATTTGGAAGCATCTGCTTCAAAACATTTTTGTGCAATCATTTAATTTTATATTATTATTAATTTGACTATGTTAATAATTTTATGAAAGTTAAAATTTATTATTTAATACAACATTAATATATCATTATAGGAAATGTTATATTTACAAATTTTTTGTTTACAAACTCTTACGAACTACACTAAGTATGACCAATGTTATATGAGATAGGATATTGTGACAACCAAATAATGTTACTACCACATCTTAACCGTTGATTTCCGCCAATCAACGGTTATCATTTTTCAAATCAAACTCATTAGTTAATTATTAATTCACAATAAATGATAACCGTTGATTGACGGAAATCAACGGTTAAGATGTGGTAGTAACATTAGTAGTAACATTATTTGATTGTCACAATATCATATCCCATGTTATATTTTCAAACTCTTACAAACTACACTAAGTATGACCAGTCATACTTCAATCAAAAATATATGACCAATTATATTTAATATAATTAAAAAAAAAGGTTGGTAAACAAATCATTTATTATTATAACTTTAAAACTTTTCATAACCATCAATTGGCACACTCTGGTCGAATATTCTGCTCCCCCATGCTGGGCTTTGGGTTTGATTTTTACTTCATGTTGTCCAAATTTAAACTTTTACCTATTAAAAAAACTTTCACAACAACCGCACTTCAAAATTAATTATATTTTATATGAAAGAGTTTATGCTAATCTCATTCGACAATGCAAAAATTCAGTCAACAGTTTGATTTCTGAGTTTCCTGGAGCGTGCATTCGAGGGAGAATATCCTTCTTAGTAAGTGATTGGTTTTATGATTTTTTTATCCTGTTGTATTATTTTATTTTAAATATTTTAATTGTTGGACTTTTGCCTCTTTCTTAATTAGGATTAGGATGTTGCTTATATTTGAATAATATTAGCTACACCCTTGTATATTATTTTATTTTATTTCTTAGGATTAGGCAAAGTGTTTCTTAATTATTTTCACCAAACTATTGCTTACATTCAACAATGTTTTCTATGTCGCAGGTCTGATCATACACGGTTGAGCATGTTCTTATTGAAATTTGAGCTGAGTTTGCAACATGATGGTCTCTGTCCTGGGATATGCGGGATGATTGTGTTGGTGCTAAAGAGCTTTACTTGACAAACAAATAGGGGAGATACTTGCAAGCGCTCCGGTGCTTAAGTCAGTATTTGATCAATGAACTTAAGTTATGGTGAATAATATGATCATACCTAGATTTTGAGCTTTCATTGTATAGTGTTTGAGTGACCTATTTATGTCGTCTTAGTATGACAATATTTAATTTCTTTAGTGCACTCAAGTGACTTATGCAACTTATCCTGTGTGTAGGATGTCTATTGATGGACTCTGCCTCCTAGGCATAACTAAAATCACATGCATATTTTTTCATTGATTGTTAAGGAGGCTGCAGAACTCTAAGATGCTGTTGTCATAGTTGTAAGTTTGCGCCTTTGCGAACTCGACACATTTCTTTACTCTTTTAACTCTTTGTCATTCGGGTCTCTCTAGCTTGGGACATAAATAAGTTGGACCTATATCAGTTTAATATGGGTACATATCACTTTCCAAAAATAGACTATTGATTTTTTGACAAAATGAGGAAGTTGTAATTGTTGGATATATGCTCTTTTGGTCACTAAAGTCCTATTGGGCTTCAGTGACACTTGAGCCCATGAGGCTTAGGGTTGAGTTATGTCTAAGACCTAAGGTATATATTCATAGTTTTCTCCTCTTGTGCCTCCAAGGTGAACAGATGAGGGAACAACTATTGTTCGTGGTCACATAACTACGCCCTTCCAGGTAATCAAAACGATGAAGGTTAATCTTTTCCCTCGTCGTGTCGGTTCGATGCGCTTCCACGTTTCTGATGATATACCTACAATTGGTATCAGAGCCGGATCGCGATGAGGAAAAGAACCAGTTTTGAAATAAATTCATGTGATTGTTTTTGAAAATTATTTTTTGAAAATATGGCATCTTTTCTATATTTGTTATTTATTTCATGGTGATCATTCGTTTATAATTCTTATTCGATATTGCTTTTAATTTTAATCGGTTAATCGCTTTAATCCATGGTTAGATTCTCTCGTGTATTTCTTGATTTGTAACAAGGAGGCTAATCCCATATGATTAGGTTTCCTCCTTGCTGTTTTTTTTTGTTTTTTTTTTTGGAATTTCTATGTATTTTTCGAATTTCTGTAAAAATTGGAGATCAAGAAACTGCGAAGAACATGAGGATTCAACACTGTCCGAGACTTTTCGTGGACCTCTGAACCTCGGGTGGATCGCCGCCGGTAGAGCCTCCACGCGCCGCCACTCACCACCTCAAGTGTCTGAGAGTGGGCTTCACTCTCCGGGAGAGATACGGCGCGTGGGGGCGCGTGCCACACCCTTTTTGGGTGGTTCCGGCGGTTAGGGTTCCTTTTTGTCTCCTAGGGTTTCTAGCAAAGGATTGGGTCTTTGGGCTTGTGGGCCCATAGATACCCTAAAGGGGCTTAGACAGATACTAGGGGTTTGATGGAAAAGGAATTTCAAAGTTGTAATTTTATTTATTTATTGATTATTATAGGAAAGCCATGGATTAAAGTTATTTATTTATTATTTAATGCTTTAATTGAATGGTATGAATTATATGTGCGATTAAACATGATGTATGAAATAACATGTCATATAGAATAGTAAGATGCCATATTGTTGCATGATCACGTGTCATTACTGCATAGTAGCTATTATGTCTTGAATCGACTAGTATGATAGTTAGTATGCGTGATTATTTAGGTTGTCCATTGGATTAATTAATTATGGATTTAAAATCTAGATAAATAATCCAGTTAATTTCCTAAGAGAAAATTGTTTTTTGAGAAAATAAATTTTTGTGGGTTTTCTGAAATGGTCATGGAGTAACACGTGTTGACGCAAACTGACCGGATTTCTGAAATCAAACAAAATTTTTTGAATTAAACATTTCTTGGAAATTAAAAAAATAAAAATAAATAAATAAATAAATAAATAAAATAAAATAAAAATTCTAATTTTTAAAATATTGAATGGGTGAAGGTTTTAAAGTAAATATTTAATTATAAAACCTACGGGCTCCAATTGTGGGTTTATTAGTGAAATGATTATCGCTGAAGCCCCATCGGATAAGGATAATCGGATTTCGCTAGATTAAACCTTAATATCTTCAAAATTTTGGTAAAGTTTTGTACGACCCATCATCGGCAACACTTAGATACTAAAGATAATTTTGACAATAAACAATGGTTAAATACATTCAACTTTAATAAAATTGTTATCCCTCCCATCGAGGCTCTGGCAATGGAACTGAAGGCCCAAAATAACAATATTAGTTTTACAAGTATCTTGCCCATCGTAAGCCTTGTAAAGATAGCTAATGGATTGTTAAACAATAAACGAATAGTAGTTATTAGAATCTACTAGCGCTATATCTGTTTGTTGTTTTTTTTTCGAGTTTGTAAATAATGTGTGTAATTTTATTTTCAGAAAAATGTCTTCATTCAATCCTTTAGCTACTATTTTGAGTCAAAAACCAATGGATGGTACAAACTACAAACAATGGAAAACAAATCTGGATATTGTTCTTCAATATGAAAAGCTCAATTTTGTTCTGACCACCACTATACCAGCGCAACCTGCTGAAGATGCGCCTGAGGCAACTAAGGCCCAATTTCAGCAGGAGAAGGAGAAATGGGAGAAGGCAAATGTGGCAGTCGCTGTTACATTTTAGCCAGTCTTGCCAATCACCTTCAAGAGCAGGTAACCATGGTTGAGAGTGAAGCAAATATGCTCCAGACTCTTGATGGCATGTTTGCTACATCTAGCAGCTTTGCTAGGCAGATTGCGCTGAATGCTGTCACTAAGACAGTAATGTCTGGAGGAAGTGTGCGGGATCATTATTTGTCAATGATTGCAAACTTCAAGAAGGCTGAGGATCATGGGGTCAAGTTTGAACAAGAAGTAAAAGTTGATCTTCTCTTGCAATCACTGCCTGAATACTTCACTCAATTCAAGATGAATTATAATATGAATAAGATGAATCTTAATCTTACTCAACTTATGCACGAGCTTGAGAGTGCTGAACAATCTCTAGTCAAGCAGGGCAGTGCATTTTATGCTGGTGAAAGTTCTGTGAAACCTAAGGGGAAACCCAAGGGGAAGAACAAGACAAGAAAAAGAAGAAATCAGGTATTCCAGTTGCCAAACCAGTTGCAATGAAGAAGCCGAAAGGTAAGTGCTTCAAGTGCGGACAAAAGGGGCATTGGAAGAAAAATTGCCCACGCATGAATCAGCCAGGTATGGGTAATTTACATGTGATTGAGGCTTGTTTAGTGGAGAATTACAATGATAAATGGATCATTGATTCAGGAGCCACTAACCATGTTTGTTACTCTTTGCAGTGGTTCAAACATAGCTTGCCTTTAAGTGAAGGACAAAGAGTTTTGAAGCTTGGAAATGGGGAGCTTGTGTCTGCACTAGCAGTGGGACAAGTTATTTTATCTTTTAATAATTGCAGAACTTTGGTTTTAGAAGACTGTTTATTTATTCCGGATTTTAAGAGGAATTTAATTTCTGTTAGTTGTTTGATTAAACATGGTTTAACAGTTCGGTTTAATTCCTCAGTTTCAATAAGGAGTTCGTCTTCTTTTATTTGTTCTGGCGTAATGTTTAATGGTCTTTATTTCCTTAGTCATGTACCCTGTGAAGTTTATCATGTTGAATTAAGAGATGTTGAGCATATCAACTCATCAAAGAAAAGAAAAGTTTCCAATGAAACTTATCTTTGGCATTTGAGGTTGGGTCACATTAACTCAAACAGGATGCACGGTTTGGTCAAAAGTGGGATCTTAAAATCCCTGAACTTTGAACCAATACCAGTATGTGAATCTTGTTTAGAGGGTAAAATGACTAAGAGATCTTTCAAGGCCAAAGGAAATCGTGCCACACATCAGCTGGAATTGGTGCATACTGATGTATGTGGACCAATAAATGTCCAGGCCAGAGGCGGGTATCAGTATTTCATCACATTTACTGATGATTACTCTAGATTTGGACATGTGTACCTGATGCGTCATAAGTCTGAAGCTTTTGGAAAATTTCAAGAGTTCAAGGCTGAGGCAGAAAAACATATTGGTGTTCAAATTAAGACTCTTCAGTCTGATCGAGCGGGTGAATACCTATCTGGAGAGTTCAGGTCTTACCTGACCCAAGAAGGGATAGTTTCACAATTATCTTCTCCAGGGACACCCCAGCAGAATGGAGTCGCTGAAAGAAGAAATAGAACCCTTTTAGAGATGGCAAGATCGATGCTCAGTTATTCACCTTTGCCTGATTCATTCTGGGGATATGCCTTAGAAACTGCTATGTACCTTTTGAACTTGGCTCCATCAAAATCTGTTTTAAAGACTCCAATAGAATTATGGAAAGGGTGTAATCCCAGCTTGAACCATATTCGGATTTGGGGTGCTCCGACACATGTCTTACAACAAAAGCCAAATAAGATGGACTCTTGTACAAAAGTGTGCATGTTTATAGGCTATGCTAAAGGAACCAAAGGCTGGTTATTTTATAGTCCGAAAGAAAAGAAGGTTTTAGTGAGTACACATGTGACTTTCTTAGAGGAGGACTATATGGAAAATCACAAGCTGAGGAGTACGGTTATACTTGATGAGCTAGACTCGGATCAAGTTTCGCCTCAACCTCAAGGGGTTCCAGCTTTTATTCCTGTATTTGTTCAAAGAGGGGAAAATATGCCTGTAGTTGAACATACGCAGGAACCAGAGACAGAACCAGAAGTTCAGCATGATAAACCAGAGACAGAACCAGAAGTTCAGCATGATAATCAACAAGTGGAGTTACCACTTGTAGAAGAACAAAATCATGAAATGGTTTATCCAGAAATAAATGAGGGTCCTCCTCAAATTGTTAACCCACCAGACTTGAATCATCCTGTAGATGCTCAGCAACAAGTGCAGCACAGTCGTAGTGGGAGATTGATTCGTAAACCAGCAAGATATCTCTTGTTGGGTGAATCGAGTCAGGATGTCATCATTGAGAATGATGATGATCCCACTAGTTATGACAAGGCACTAGAAGATGTTGATGCTCAGGAATGGCTTGAGGCTATGAGTCGTGAAATGGATTCTATGTATTCTAACTCAGTTTGGTCTCTTGTAGATGCCCAAAAGGGTACACCCAAATAGAAGGTGTGGATTATGAAGAAACCTTTTCGCCAGTTGCCATGCTCAAGTCTATCCGGATTCTCTTATCTGTTGCAGCAAATCTTGATTATGAGATTTGGCAAATGAATGTCAAAACTGCTTTTCTAAATGGAAATTTAGAAGAGGAAATCTATATGTAGCAACCAAAAGGGTTTATAGCCAAAGGGCAAGAAGAAATGGTATGCAAGTTGTAAAGGTCCATTTATGGACTTAAGCAAGCATCCAGATCATGGGAACATCAGGTTTGATCAAGCCATCAAAGTCTATGGTTTTGAGAAAAGTCCTGATGAACCAAGTGTGTATAAAAGGATTCAAGGTAATGCAGTATCTTTTCTGGTACTTTATGCGGATGATATACTTCTTATCGGAAATGATACAGAGGTATTGTTAGGCATAAAGACCTGGCTGAAGCAAGCATTTTGATATGAAAGATCTGGGGGAAGCCAATTATATTCTTGGTATTAAACTCTTGCGAGACCGGAAGAATAGGGTTTTGGCATTATCCTAGGTTAATTACATCGACAAAATACTTCAGCATGGAGAATTCCATGAGGGGAATTTTACCTTTCAGGCATGGTATTCATCTCTCTAAGGAGCAATCTCCTAAAACTCCTGAGCAGAGAGAACGCATGGGTAGAATACCTTATGCTTCGGCAGTAGGTAGTCTCATGTATGCTATGCTTTGCACCAGACCAGATATCTGCTATGAACAATACGTAATGTAACCAGAAGAACTAGCCAAAAACATT